GGCCTTGTGTGGGCTCGTGGGGAAGGCAGCGGCGGCTCGGTCCGCCGTCAATCCTGTCAAAAAAGGGGGTGTGGAATTAGCGATGGCGTCAGCCAGAAGCTGCCAGAGGCCTTAGGTTTTCTTACCTATTAGGGAAATGAGGATGCCGAGTAATTTATTAGAAATGCGCGAACAAAACTGAATTGGGGAAAAACCGAGAACGTGTTGCAAAAAATCGCCGTAATTTAAAAATTAAATCGTAAATCGTCTCGTCTCTTAGGCTGTTAATTTTTTAGAGGCTAAGTCATTGAGTACTAGTTAAAATGCAGTTAAAATTTAGATACTTAGACTTTTGAAATCTCATGTAGTTGCTGCTCCAGGCTTTCTTTATTTTATGAGAATCACATCTCCCAAGGAATGCTCGAGGCCTTCAGGATAAGGGGGGGATGCTGGGTTAGTTCATTAGTGGTGCTGGACAGAAATGGCCATACGAGGTAGGACAAGATGTCAGGCAAGAGTCTTGCTTGGGTTCCTGCTGTGATCAACAGTAAATCTTGGGAACTACAAGACAATACATGAGTATATGATGACAGTACAAGAATACATGCTTTTATTTCTAGTGTGTCCTTTCCCAGTCTCCAGTGACCTTAAACCAGATGTTGATGCTTTTATATTTACATCGAAATATGAGAAATTTGAAATGTACACTCCATTACTTAGTTTAATCAATTTTATTTTAAAGGAAAGATAAATGACAGCTGTTGTGTAGATAGATTTAGGTTACTTTGATTGTGGCCTATACCTGTAATTAAAGGATCAGCCAAGCTTGTAGAGAAATATCAATATGCCTTTTTGTCTACTGATTAGGTTGTCTGGGCTACCATACTTCATTTTTTCACTAATTTCCATGAATATCTTAGTCTGTGATTCACTTACCTCTGAGAGGGTTTTTTTTATTTACTTGGATCTTGATTGGTGGTGTCCAAGTGGGTTTTAAGTATGTAATTTCAGTGCTTTCAAGTGTTCCATTTTAGGACTTTCCCCCCTTTTATTCCTGTCCAAAAGGTGTCTGGGAAAAAGTCTTTAGAAATGATGCTCATTACCTGTTTGATGTTGGTGAAGTCATTTTGTCTTCAAGGATAACTGCTGAGAAACTCATCCAAATCCTTCTTGCAAAGTTGTGTAATTAATAACCGTATTTGCTCTGATTGCTGTAGTGTCCTACCAGTGTTGAAGAGTCATGTTAGTAGATCTTAGAACCATATTGCCATAATAGGATGAAATATTCTTTCACATTGCTTAAAGAAATTGACACTGATAGTGGTAACTGAATAATTTATGTGATTTGTCTTTAAAGAGGTTCTGCACCTTGTATCTGGAAAAGATACTTTTCTCAGAGCTTATATTCACAGGCACAAATTCTTTTTATTTTTTAGTTGCTGAGCGCTCAGAACAGATATTTTTACCTTACGTTTATTCCTTGAAAACTTACCTCCATGCAACAAATAAATTTTCAAAGGCACATGATACCTGTTTGGTATCTGAGTCTGCACATTTCCATTTAGAGGAAGTAGTTTCTAAACCTAAAATTTTGTGGCATATTTTCCCTGTAAAAGAAGAACTTTATTTTAATTAAACTGTATATTTTTGCACAGAAGGCTGAGAAAGTGAAGGATGCACTGACTCTTCTGCTGAGAGCTGCCAGCCTTTCAAAAGTGATTCAGTATTTGACTGTAGATTAAAGAACAGGTTTGTGCTGTTAATCCTGTGAATAATTTACTGTGCAGAGAGGAAAGGGAAAAATGCAGTTATGATGCAGGGAAAAAAGAATGGCTGGGGGGCAGGCACGTAGAATCCTGAGTACAGAGGAAAGCTAAGAATGACATTGAGGTGGGTGGGTGGAATAGTCAGGACTTGTGCATTGGGAGTGCTGAAGCTACAGACTGGAAAAAGATACCAGAGGGACTGTGGTTGCAGCATGTAATGAGTGAACGTGGAATGAATTTGAAATACTGATAGGAGAGGAAAATAGCAGGCTGGAGCAGTGTGGAGGTGATTCTGGTTTTTTTTTGGGGTGAAAGATTATACTTAGGTGCTGTAGAAAAGGCCAGGAAGGTAGGATAGAAGGAGAAATGAAAATTTTAGGCAGCCTACAGAGTGGACTTGAACAGCATGGGTAAATTTAGATGATTTTGGGTAATTATGGAAAACTGAAAGGCTTGCACATAGAGCATATATGAGGGGCAGGGGATAAAATAGGAATACGAATAAAATATTCTCCTTGAGGTGTAGTGACCTGAGTTTGTAGAAGCTGCGATCAGTGCATTCTGAAAATCAGCCTCATGCAGGCAAGTGCAGTCTCTTGTTCCTGGAGTCTGCAGTTAGGCAACCTCTGCCTTTGGTGCAGTGGAGAAGGAGCAGCAACATGGAATTGATGGTATTGATTGTTTTTCTCTGCTAGCATTCAGAACTGATACACATGCCAGTGTTGCACCTGCCAGCAGGAAAGTTGTGCCAGTGGAGAGACTAGAGATGTAGAGACAGAAATACTAAGAGATAAGCACGTGGAATGGGTGAGAGTTCTTGGTTGTTGTGAGGCTCTGAAAATGGAGAAAGTCCATCCTCCTGTTTGCAGCCAAAAATGGAGATGCATTGCAGGTGGGCACATGGGATGGGGTGGAATTCCCAGTCATTCCAGTACCTATAAATGAGGAGTTGTGTTTCTGGCCAGGGAGCTGTGTGCTCTGCTGCTCAGAGCTCTTAGGGTGTGAGGAAAAAAAGCTTTACCTTTGTGAGAGAGACTGAGGCCTGCACAGATTTCAGTACTAGAGAAAGTGAGAAGCAAAGCTGGAGGAATCAGGGGGAGAATGGCAAGATTTGTCTCATGAGATTGTTAGGACTGTGGTATAGACAAAATAATACAGGGAATGAGGGTGTGCAGTGAATGAATGTGAGATCTGGTCTTGAAATCTCAAGCAATTGCATTTGCAATTGCAATAGTAGCAATTGCATTTTCCTAATTTTAGTTTAATTATGGTAATGATGATAGAAGTATTGACACTGAGGAGGAAATGGTGAGGTTTTTCACCTTGCATTCAGAAAAGCTGCTGATTGATAGGAGCTGTTGTGTGTCCTTCACTTGCAGTAGTGATTATGAGGTAAGGGGGCCTAGTTCTGAGGGACCCTGATTTCCTAAGTGAGAGGAAGATCAAGCTTGGTAGTAGCCAAGATGGATGATGGGTTTAAAGCTTTTCAAAAATTTTTGTATTTTTTTCAAGTCTTTGTTTAAGGACTTCTTTGGTCTTTTAATTAATTGCAAAGAGCTTTTAAGTTGCAGAGTCATAAGCAGGCCTTACAGCTTGTGATTCCATTAAATGAATGAGGTTCAGTGATCCCTTCAGAGATGATCTAGCATGCAGAGAGCCTGAAAGAGCCTTTTGCTGGATGCATGATTTATCCTGCAGATAACGAGGTTTAGGCTGTTTAAAATAAGCTTAAATTTCACTTGTCATGAACATTCTGATAGTGGAACTAAAGTTGTGCAATGTTTTTGTTTTTGAAGCACAGTGTCAGTGTGACAGAGTGATTGCTGTTCATGCTCTGACTCTGCTGATTCAGTCAGTCATTTCACCAGTACTCTGCTCTAGCAGTTCATAGTTGGCATTGTTTTCATAACAGTGCAAAGCTCAGCTCAGCCCCTCCCCTCTGCATTAGACAGTGCCTGTCCAAATCTTTGGTTTTGGTCCCTATGTTTGCTGTAAGGTGTAATGCAGTTGTATGAGCCATCTTTTCTGCTTTTCTTGCTGTTTCTGTGTACAATTTTTCTTTTCCTCCTGTTTTTTTTTTTTTTTATCAGTGATCCATTTGTAAGATTGCCTCAGTGTGCAGGCAGTTGCAAAATGAGATTGATGCTTTTTGACTTGCAGATGGGGATTCCCCATATGAGCAGGAAAGCTGAATGGGGCACTGTAGCTCTTGTTTGTAGTGTTAGTCTATTTTTTTTTAACTGTTCCTCCTTTGTCCCCACTTCCCTTCTTTCTCCTGCTGTCTTTGAAGGATAGATAAGATTAGATGTCAGGTGAACATTTAGCAGTGATTCTTCTGGTAACAGTTACCTTGTATCATGTGACCCTTCTGGGATTTTACCTTTCAAGAAGTTACACTTTTCAGTCTTAATAATTCTGGTTTGCTTCCAGTGGGATGCTCATTTCATAGTCTCTGTTACCGAAGTAGGTTGAAGAAAGTTTTGAATCTTCTTTTTCCCTTCTTTAGAACTGGGGCCATGCATCTTGCTTCTAAGGTTGTCTTTTTTCTTCTGCTAAACATTTCCTCCTTCTGTTAACTACTACTTCCCTTTTTTTATTTTTCCTTGGACTGTGTGGCTGGAGTCACTTCCCCCTCCATTCTGTTGAATTTTTTAAATATAACAGTCTCTTTCATGCTTATGAGGCTCTTGACCATTCTCATCTGAATTCTTCAATATATTTCTATTTAGATACCCTACTGTAAGCAGCAATGTCTAGAAAGTGTTTGGGGTTTTAAGTATGGTATTCAGGAGGAAGAGGGACTTCTCAAATTTCTGTTGCTGCTGGAGATTTACATGCAGTTCAATTTTCAGAGCTGGTAGTGACATTAATATGCAATGCTGGGATAAATTTGGAGCAGTGCATCTTTTTCTTGAGGGACCCTGGCCCCTTTTTGATACGATAACTTGACACTTGCTAGGCAGAACAAAATCTTTCTAAGCTGGAGAACCATGCCCTTCCTGTACCCCAGAATTCAGCTTTGTGTGTAATTCATGCAGCAGAAACTTACTCTGATTTTAGAATACCAAATAATTTTCCATAGTTGACACAAGATGAGAAGGCTGAGCATTTGATCTGAAACCTCTTTAAGAGGCCTTGTTTGCAGCTCTCACATTCTCTGTTACTGATTTGAACTCCCCAGTGCCTGAGCCTAAACTCATTCAGTTCTGCATGTAGAAGGTCTCCTTAGAAGTGAGAAGCTTAAAGGAACTGGGAACTGTCAAGATCATAATTCAGTTTTTTGGAAGTGTTTTAATTCTGAAAGGGATTTGTCCTCCTTTTCATTCATTGGAGAACTTGAGGAAATATTCTTTCCTGATAAGGGGATTTCTTTAGTGATATCTTAGATTTTAAATTAAATTACTGAAAGGAGTGTCAGCCATATGTTCCTGGTTGCTGGGATGTGAAACTTGTCCCTTTTCTGATGGTTTGTATTTTATCTTGAACATACTGTATGGGTTTTTCCATGTTCATTAAGCTGGGAAACCTGCTCTGCAGTGTACATTGTAGGATTTAACAAGTGCAGGTGTCAAGGCTGTTAACATGGTGATGTTAAATGTACTTCATGTACCTGCATAACCAGTTAAACATGGATGGCTTCTTGAGGTTTTATTTTTATGGGTGTTTGTTCCAAGTGAGGAGACTGCTGATGGAAGGGATGGTAGCTGATGTTCTTGTATGCCCCTCCTTATTTCCCCTCCCTTTCGGTTACCCTGCTGCTGGTGTTATCCATATTGATGGTGTCCCTTAGCAGTAGTCTGTAAATATTTTGCCTCATGTGCAGTGACAGCCCTTAAATCAAACAGAGGAGAGGCAGGCAGAATACTTTGAACATAATCTATGACTGACTACTAATGTGAGTTACCATCTGGAAAATGATGCAGAGCAGCTGCAGCTTTTGGCATCTGACAGGGCTGCACAGCTCTCCTCTTGTAGTGCTGGAATGGGCTTGCTTGTTGGAGCTCCTGCGTGGACTTCAGGGTGCAAATTTCCCAAGTGACAGCCTCCACTTTGCACATGAGATCCCCTCAAGAGCACTTCCCATTAGTACTCACTGTCTATGCTATTTTTACCTTTTTGTCTATAGAAAGCTTTCAGCAGAGGCATGGATCTGATTAGATTTCTGAAATCAGGTGTGGTCTGTGAATTTGTGTTCCTGTATTTACTGCTTAGGAAATTGTGGCAGTCATTCTCATAATGAGAATGACTACTATGAGTATCTCTTGAGTTGGGAAACAAGGAACTTTTACTACACCCTTTAGTTGTAAATGGCTATTTAATGTATAAGTACAGTGTATATCCATGTATTTTATTTATGTACTTAACCTGACATCCAGAAAAAGTAGCTTTGGAATTTGAGGAGGAAGTATGCATATAATTCTTAATTAGTTCAGTTCATTGTGTAGAATTGTTGTAAAGTGAAGATATTTTTCAGATGCCCTTTAGAAAGGTGAGATGGCACACACCATAATAAAATTCTTCCTGTCTGTATGTTGCACTTCTTTTATTTTAATGTACTGCTGTTGCAGCATTTCTTTTGGGTATGGGTGTACAGTTCTTGTGGCATGCAAAGCAAAGAATATGGACTTCATGGTGACACTCCTTGCTGTAAATTTGGAGGAGACATTAGAAATCTCTTAATTCCTTAGATGTTGTATTTTTTTCTGAACGGGGATACTTATTGCTACAAAGCCCTGTATTTTAAAAAGTATACACTTGTGTATTTAGTAGAGTTGGATTGGTTTGCGTGGCAAGGTAGCAGGGGAGATACAGGGGTGGCTTCTGTGAGAAGCTGCCAGTGATGGTAGTAGCATCTCTGGGATTATGTATTTTAAAAGGGGGAAAAAATCACTGCACAGGACCAATTGCAGCTGGAGAGAGCTCAGCGCAGAAGGAGGGGCAGGAGGTGCTCCAGGAGCCAGAGCAGATTCCTGTGCAGCCCCTGGGGCAGCTCCTGGTGGGGCAGCTGTGCCCCTGCAGCCCAGGGAGGTCCCTGGGGGAGCAAAGATCCACCTGAGACCCTTGGGGACTCTCCAGCCTGGAGCAGGAGGGTGTCCAAGGGAGGCTGTGACCCCAGGGAAGCCTTTGCTGGAGCAGGCTCCTGGCAGGGCCTGTGACCCCACGGGGCACCACGCTGGAGCAGGCTGTGCCTGAGGGACTGTGCCACGTGAAAAAGGACCCAAACTGCAGCAGTCTGTGAGGAGCTGAGCCCACAGGCAGGACTCACACTGGAGAAATAGGTGGGATAAGTGTAATGAAAAGATAGATTTCTTTCTTTTTTGCCCTGGGCCACAAATTACTTCAGACAATTGGCTTTTAGTTTTGGTGCCTTTGGAGGTATGTAAAGGCCTTCCCTCCTGTGTGTTTGGGCTGTGTTATTTCTGTGGGGGCTCATTTCATCCACAGCAGCTCAAAAAACTTTTTTTATTTTTCTTTTTTTTTTGTTAGGAGTAGTCTTGGTGGAAACTAACTGCAGAATATTCTGTAGACATGGAAAGCTTATTATAAACATCTTCCTACCTTTTACTGCTTTGTGATCTTGTTGCCTTACAAGTAAAATGGAGACCAGTAGTAGCTTCTACTGGTAAATTTCAGAAAAACTGTACAAGAGCAGTCTGGGTTTTCATAACTTCAACAGAACAAGATTTTCTTGTTTTCCCTTGCCAGTGTCACTCACTGCTTGTTTATTCTGTGATATGTAGGTTGTAAATTGCTTAATATTGGGGGTATTCATTTTAAAGCAGGAATTTTATGAAGAATGTTCATGTGTCTGGATTCCCTGAGGAGAACAATCAGCAGCCTTTTATTTGAAAGTTGTGTTTGAATTTTGCAAGCGAGGCAAGAAAACACTTACTAATACTCAGAAACTTAAGGTATTTCAACTGAGAATTAAGTTCAAGTGTTAATCCATGGAGTAACTCATTTTGACAGGTTTTTTTTTAATGTATGAAGATTTTTTTTAAATTTCAGTATTTATGGGGTTTTTTTTTTTAGGGGAACTACTGGCTATTGTTAAGCTATTCTGTGAGCTTTGAAGGAGGAAATCAGAAAATCTGTATGTTCAGATGGAGCTTCTCAACTGTTTTTTACTTGCATCAGGCTCTACACTGGTTTGGTTACAATACTGTGATTTCTAGAAGGGAAAGTTTACTCCAAATATCCCTCAGCTGCATTTGCATTTTATTTGCAATCACTTATGGTAGGATTTACTTGTGGCTGTTGCTGGGGGATGTTACAGAACACATTCATTGTTGCTTTTGTTGGGAAAGTTTCACCATTGACTCTAATTGCTTTGTAGATGTGAAAATAAACTAGAGGCTCTTTAAAAGGTTCTCTGTCTTTATGTGTTGCTTCTGACAAAACTGGAAGATTCATTGCCCTCATTTTCATGAGTTGGCAGTAAAAGATTCTTTCAGTCTTTTGTCCTCTTTCAGCAAGACTCAACATCTGTATATACTCTTCAATGTTGCTTTGATTTGTAAGTGATAGCAGAAGTCAAGTGTGCCTCTTAACCATACAAAAATGTCGAGATAAAATCTAGGTCTTCCCATGATAATTGTAGTTCTGGCTGAGTTGATTGTTCAGCCAAGGTTATAAATCAAGCCTGGTGTTACTGCCTGCTAGCTGAGTGTCTGCTTTTGGAGTGTTACATTAACTCCTGTTGGACAATTTACCCAATTTCATACTCAGGTTGCAGGGGATTTACAAATTAGAGATTCCTTTTTGGGGAGAAACAGGTTGGAGAGGAAGATTTATGTCAGTTTAACCTATTCCTAGAAAGATTTGTGTTGGAAAGCTTATTTGGTTTCCATGGTCTGTTGTACGCATAAATCTGCTTTGTCATCCATCCCTTCCCACAGAGGTGCTAGGAGGAGGCTGTTCTTGGACATGGCTGTTTCAGTTACTTAGAACTAAAACATCCTCTGAGTGCAGCTACCTTATTATGTTTGTGCCAGTATAGCTTCTGTTCTCTCCCTGCTGCTTATGGTCTGTGGAGAGGCAAGAGGCATATCTCAATTGCCATCTATTTTGGTTTTTATTTGACTTATTTTCTGACTCTCCCTGAAATACATCCTTTGCTTCACTCTAACAACTGTGAGGGTTTAAGTTCTGTATCCTCATTAGAATACTCCTCAGAGGAAAGATTGAATGCTGTGGAATCACTGTTGGAGCATTCATTTAGGTGGATTGCTGTCAGCTCTTTGCACCTTTATCAACATGCTTCCTGAGTAGTTTGGTTAGGGGTCACTCTACATTGCCTTCTAGAACTGAGGGCTTTCTTTGGCTTGCTTCTGAAATATTTCTCATTTGTTAGTAGTGAACATACTCACTACTTCTATTTTATGTGAATGCTTAAGGAAGAGTAATTGGATTTCTTTGCTTCCACTTGGGGTTTATAATGCAAGTACCATGAATAAAACATCAGGGCTGTCTCTCAGCTGTATTACTGAAGCATAACATTATGTAGAAGCTTGAAATGAGATTTCCTCTTTCCCTGTGGAGGTTAAAAAGCCCAGTGAACTCTTTGAGCACGTACTGGCTTCACGCCAGGAAGTAAAGTGTGAAGTGCTGGCTGCACTGCATATAAGCCTGGTAAAATCTGACTTCTTTAGTGCTTGCCCTCAGAAGTGTATCTCAGCTTGGCTTGCAAAGATGACTGCTTGGAACTATGAATTCCTCTAGGTCTAGTATTTTACTTGCAGAAAGCATGCCTACAGGCTCTGCTTTTCTATGTCAGGGATTTAAAAACCTGGAGTGACTTGACAAGAAAGTAAATGAAAAATGAGACTGCTCATGTGAGCTGTTCTGATTGTAGGTAAGCAGGGGAGGCACCAGTGAATTAAATCTGCTGTGTGAATAGAGCACATCTCATGTCTTTATTAATTATATCTGACTGCAATTGATGCATTAGCCTGTGAATGTAATGTAAAAGATTTTTAATTTGACAGATGGAACCATCTTTCCTAGGTATTTGCAAAAGCCTTTAAGTTCAGAGTGTGTATAGACAGATAGTTAGGAAGGTTTTCAGTCTGGATGTGCACCCAAGAAAATGCTAACTGTATTACTTTTTTCCTCAATGCTTATGTAACGCATGCAATTCCAATTTCAACAAATGAGCTGACTGCAGATGCAAAATAAGAGCAGAAGGTATAGGAGTAAGCAAAAATTACTGTACAGTTAACGTGCTGGGTTGTTGCACACAGCCACAACATAACAAACAAAACTTTTCTGAGTTAAAGAAGCTTATGATGGATTATGCAACAGATAAATATTAGCTTTTCATATTGTAAGTACTGGGATTTCCTTGTAACTCCTTCTCTATATCCTCTTAATAGAGCTTGCATAAGGGTACAAGGAAATGTGTATGTTACAATTGCTTTTCTGTTCTTGCTTAATTGTGAAATATTTGCATTTCAGGTCAAATCAAAGACAAAGTTAAAGAAAGGGAGAAGAAGCAAAAAGAAAAGAAGAAGCACAAACTAATGAATGAAATCAAGAAAGAAAATGGAGAGATCAAATTACTGCAGAAAGGTAGGTTCAAATTATGTCCTGTTTTTTTATTCTAGTGCTAGAGGTATTTGTGATTGGATGCTGTGCTTTAATACTATGTTTTTTCATTTACTTATGCCATTTTTCCTGGTTAGTTGATACAAGAGTTGCAAATTAAAATCTGATATAGATGTTAATTTTTTTGTCAACTGCGCTAGGTACTGGAAATTAAAGATAAAACTATCATCACAGTGTTGTATATGCAATAGTAGTAGTAGGTAAGACCAGTACTTCAAGGAGCAATATTAGTGATTCTTGAATGACTGCTGACAAGATGTAGGTTATCATTTTATATCTTGTGGAGAGGAAAGATGAATGCATGTTACATTTTATGTCTAACATTAATGGTACAAGACTGAGTACTTAAGGAGTTATAATTCAAGAGCTTTGTCAAATACTAGGCAATTGTATGCCACATGCAGTCTTAATTTTGGCTAATTTCTTCAACTTTGTTTTCTGTAATGAAAGGTAGTTAAAGTTACATTCTTATGTGGCTTGTGCATCCATTGAATCTTAGAACTGTGCAGTAGTTGAGGTTGGAAGTGATCTAGTCCAGCTGCTCCAGGTATGATCAGCTAGAGCAGCTTGCCCAGGATTATCAGACTCTTTATCTCCAAGGGTGGAGGTAACAGTCTCACTGGACAGCTACATTCAGATTATATATACAGAAATTGTTTTTATAATGATGATGATGATAAGAGACTGGGACAGGTTGCCCAGAGAGGTGACAGATATTCCATCCCTGGCAGTGTTCAAGGTCAGGTCAAGAATTTGGCTCTGAGCAACCAGATCTAATTGTGAAGATGTTCCTGCTTATTGCAGCAGGTTAGGCTAGATGGTCTTGAAAGGTCCATTCCAGCACAGGCTGTGTCTGTTGTATGGTCTGTGAAGAAAGGCGGAGACTGCTGGGACTGGTAGGCCTGGAGAAGAGGAGGCTCAAGGGGGATCCTGTGGGTGTGTGGGAACACCTGATGAAAGGGAGTGAGCAAAGTCATCAGCCTGTGCTCCACGGGTTGTTCAATTTGAGTTACAATGGGAAGCAGATGCACAGCACAGCAGATATAACCTACAGTGTCAGACTACACTGTGTGTGTATGTCCAGCATTTAAGAACTGATGCAGGGTTTTACCCACCCCTCTGTTAACTTCATGAGTCCCCAAGTTTCTACATTTCTACAGCCTCTCGAGGTCCCCTCTCACTGGCAGTGCAGCTCTGTGGTGCATCAACTCCGCCTCCCAGTTGTGGATCAGCTGCAGCTTGCTGAGGGTGTGCTCTGTCCCATGATGCATCAATGGAGAGGCTGAACAATAACAACACAAGATATTAAGGTCTGGATTACTCCAGCAGTGACTGTTTCCAGCTGGAATTTGTGCTGCTGCTCACAAACCCTTTGAGCACAGCAGTTAAGCCAGTACTTGAACCACCTTACTCTTCACTTAGGTCATGCTGCAGCAGATTTTCTGTGAGGGTGTTGCTTATTTGAGTAGACCAAATGCTTTTTTAATCTGTTATTTTCAGTCTCTGCTTTTGAAGTTAGGAACAAATTCCTGATATGTTTTTCTGATACTTTGTAAACTGTAGGATTTAATTTACAAACCAGAAAGTGAAACCCTCAAATTAAATCTTGAACTTCAGATGAGGTCAGAGGCATAGAGCCCTTTAATTACTGCATCACGTATTAAACTCTACACACAAGTAACTGTATTAACAACAATGACAGCTTAAAACCTGTGTTGATCAGATCTCAAAGTACAGCTTTGAACTTGAGCATTGTGTAAGCTGGTGACTTCCTGTGCAAAGGGCAGGTGTGACTTGTCTTTGCTGAGCAAAGGAAGTTGAGGGTTGAGCTACAAGGCAACACGTAGCTGCCACAGCAGTGGGTTCTTCAGGCTTTGTTGGAGCAGCCTTTTTTTACACTGGGCCCTGTTTCTGTTGCCATTCAGCAGATGATGTGCAATCTGCAAAGACAAGAGGTTGTCTTGCACCAGCCTAATGGGGTGTTGAGCCTAAAATAGTGGTTTATTTTCAGGTTAATGTTCAAGTTCATATGCCCGGGGACTGTGTTAAAAGACTTCTTTTGAGAAGCAGGATAGCTTATTTTCACAGCAAACAGTGCTACAAGTGCATTAGATGCTTCACTCCTATTTTGACGTTTTACCACTCAAGTTTATTTCATATTTTCTTTAAGGTGTTGGGTGTTAAGTGTTTTGTAGAGGCTGTGTTTGGTTTGCCAGTATCCTGCAAAATTGACTCCTATTTCAGGGAATGAAGGGAGTGAGTCAGGAGAGCAGTTATTTAGAGCAGACAGATCATCTCCACAGGGTTTGTATCCTGTTCAGAACAGCAGCTTGGTGTCTTCTGTGGGCCTCCAAAATCTGACTAAGTGTGCTTATATGTGCTGTGAGGTTTGTATAACATTTCCTGAGCTGTCCTGCTGATCTAACTTTACAGCCTGGGCAAGAGAGCAGAGGCAGAAGAGCTTTATGATGCAGCTTCTTGTATATATCAGTGGTCAGTGTCTCTGTGACCTTTTCGATTACTAACTCTATTTAAGAGGGTCTTCTTCCTGTGCAACAAAAGTTAAACTTCAAGCCCTATTGTTTTGAGCTCAGGATTTACAGTGCAGGCTTTGGAATGAGCCTGCTTTCCATTTCTTCAGGCTTCTGCTTTTGTGGTTGTTTTTTCTATTTTTAGCGTGTGTGTGTGTTTAGAGACCAAGAGTACAGTGCCTAAAGACAGCTTATTTCCTTCTTCTAGGTATTAGATCTATATCTTGTTGTAAAATATTGCCGTGGCCATCTGTTTGTGACTGCCCTTGGCTGAGGGGGGTAGGTGACAGCCTACGTGACTTCAGACAGCTCAGCTGGCTGTCCAAGGTCAGGGGTGACGAGTTCTGCAGGAGGTCAGTGCTGAGGGACTGATGCCTTTTGAGGGAGAGCTGGTGCATAAGCCTAATTTTGGTGCTCTAAGCTGAATGTGGAAGAGTTTATTTATACTTGGAGGCTCTGGGTTGTGAGCTGTTCATCTGCCTAAACTTGGGTTGGCGTTCTGTTGAAAGCTGTGATAAAACTTGCCCGTGTTGGAGAAGGGTGATTCTGAAAAAGGGTTTCTCTGCTGTGCATGAGGCTGCTAAAGGAAATGAGGCTCTTTCAGAGAGCCTCATGGCTTTTTTTATAAACCTAGAATTAAAAGGTTATTTTGTCATCCTTTTGCACCGTATTCTCTCTAGATAAGGCTGTAGAATTGTCTCTGTGTCTGTCTGCTGTGTGGAAGGAAGAGTTCAGCTTTCAGACAAAAGCTGCTTGGCACATGCATGTTGTTAAAAATTCAGCAACTCCAAGTGATTTAAATTTTCTTTTAAGAAGAATCTGCATTGTAAATAGTTAGTCTAGATATTGAGCATTAATGCAAAACATTTGCACCACTGTGGTGTGACAAATTTACTGGAGGTTCTGCAAAAAGGAGGATGATTAATAGGTTTATTTGTAAACAATCCCATTTCTGTTTTTCATTTTAGAAAAAAGTCAGTTTTGTTTTTCTGATTATTTATATCTGAGCACAGCAACTGCAAAAATTGCAGTAGGAGACATTCTTAGTATGTGTTTCTGCAAGATTAAATGCCTTGCTTTATTGAATGCCAAAACTCAGGAAAGAACTGAAAATGAACATTTTCTTTGCTGGTATGAACATATATAAATCCAAATTGTTTTCTAAAGACTTTAAAAAATTATTCTTCTGGAAGAAATGACATTTAACTGTACATTTTTATGACCCTTTTAAATTTTTTAAATTTAGATGGGTTTTTACATGAGTAATTATAAAATCAGTATATTGAACATGAGACATGAGTCTTCATGTATCTTTAAGGAAAATGTTCAGGTGTTTGTATGCAGTGCACTTTAGTTGAGGGAGTGAGACTGAGATAAGAGTGGAGGGCACACAATCCATCACACTGATTTGTCTGATACTGGGTTTGCTTCACAGTCCTTAGGCACCAAGTTACCAACTTTTACCAATAAAATGTGAGTAGAGGGTAAAACAGATGTCAAGTGAGATGGAACAAGTGGTTACTGGAGGGAGAGCTGTGCTGCAAAGCTTTCTGCTGGGGCTGGGGATCTGGACTTTGAAGCAAAGACTTCTGGTGCATCAAAATAAAAATGTTAAAGTTTGGTGGCTAGGCTCTCCTAAAGTAAGGAAGTGAAAACCGATTTAAATTAGTGACTGCTGTTAAAAATGTTTGTGCCTTTCTGCTGCTACCTGTCAGCTAGAAAACTGTGGGAAACAGAGTTAAGTGTTACTAATTTTTGGCTTTTGCTTTGAAATGTCTTAAGTCCCCCTCTAATAATTCTGGCTGTGACCTCAAAGTTGAGAAACAACTGCTCTGGTTGAAACAACTGAATAAAGTATTCGACTTCATGGTCTCTGCTTATTTAAAATTTCAGATCAAATGATCAAGCAGAACAAATGGACAAAACACAACATAAAATAAATTCAGGTAATGTCTGACTTGCAAAAACTTACATTTGGAAGGTGTCTAATTAGATAAACCAGATATTAGGCTGTCTAGCATCAGTTTTAATTACAAATATGTGGCATCTTATAATAACAGAGCATTGGCTTATTTGTGTAAAATTTGAACAGTTTTGAATGTCAATCCTTAGCAGTAAGTCCCATGTCACTAACAGTGACAGGTATATTATGGCACCATAAAAAATAAGGTGTGCTGAGTTAACTTGAAAGATCTACCAGTCCTATAGATGTGTGCATGTGAGAATTATTTTTCTGTTTATGGTATGTAAGGTTTGGTACCTGGAGGGTGGCTATAAGTTACTTAGCATTAGTTCTGGTACTGCTGAGTGTGTGCCTGCATGAACAGAATGAACGTAACTTCCATTCTTCTGATTTCTTTATTGATGCGTTGCAGATTTTGTAGCTCTCTCCTTGTGCAGATACTGCTAAACCAAATAAGAGCAGAAGCTGTT